GTGATGGTGTTGAAGATGAAAGAGGTTAAGAAAGTAAGCAGATAACTCTTGAGAGAAACTGGGATCCGTGACTCTTAGATCAGGCGAGCGACAGGAGACAAATGGCAGAGAGAACAGGGCAAAAGGATTGTGAGACACAGAAGGACCAATCGCTCTTCCTCGCGCTATAAGTGACCAACCATATTAGATCAGCACCTTCTGTTGTCACAGTAGGTGTGTGCTTGTGAGTGTCTGTGTTTGTTTGCAGGCACCAGTGAGAGTGTGTGTCTATGTGAGAGGCAGCTGATGCCAGGTAATTGCAGTGGTGTATTAGGTTAGTTCAAGTTATCCCATAATTGGGACTGTTTGGCCAATTTTCACCGTTGTACAAACTAATTCAACTCACTCCTCCTCTTCCATCCACTACCGGGAGAGTGTGCAGGGTTGTTTGTGTGACCATATGTTTGTATTTGTGAGACTGGAGTGGGGGGCACTGTGTCTGGGCTATGAAAGTAAATGCTGATTAACTTTTTTTAAACAGAACCTTCACTTTGAGAACTTTAAAAAAGGAAAATATTTTCAAGAAGTCAGAGAACCTCTTTCCAAGAATGATTTGACTGCTAGTTTTACCTTTGAGGTATCAATCATGCAAACCAGATAATTGCTAATTTGGTGTCAGTTCAGTTTATTATTCCAATTGATTAAAATGTTTCCACTAAGGAAGCCCAGTCAATTGCAGCTTTCACTCCTCCTGGATGACATGTAACCTCACTGGACAAATAAGCTTTACAAGCATATAATAATGTATCTGTCTGAATTTAATGTGACTGTAACTCTAAAAGGACCTTGTTCGCAATATAGGTTTCAAAGTAGTATGTATGTCATGAGCTTTAATGAGATAAAAATCATCAGGACTTGTAAAACAGTCTATATCAGCAGCTGTCCCATTACCGAATTATTCTCTGTGCCACTGCATTTTATTGTTTTTCTAAATGGAAAGAGGGAAATACCACTTATGAGAAAAACAAGGTGTGCCACCAGTCTGAATTCTTAATCACACAAAACTTAACAAATTAGTTTTTTTTTTTTTTTTTATACATTTAAACAAATGCACCTTTCCTTTCTTTAATGCTTGTTTACATTTTTAAGCAATATATGCAGTTACGTGAAACAGCGAGGCTGGGGACTTTTATGAAGTGTAACGCAACGTTCACATGAGACGCGCTTTGGGCAGCAGATTCAGACGTTTTAAATGCAAGGTCAATGGTTGACACGCATCAAAAAGTCCTGCAGCATGTCTTGAACAGCTGAAGCAACGCATCATGAGCTTCTGAGCATCTGAGGAGCGTGACGCACTTCACAAGCAGCAGATGCTGGAGTTGGAAAGATTGAATTTCTGCTAATCGACGCGCCGCATCAACCAATCAGAGAAGCTGATCTGGGAGCTGGCAGGGAGACAGACACAGCACTACTGATTCAGAGCGTTATGATCACTCCTCTGAAACAGTTTATTAATGCTTAAATTAACTTAAACTGTCGAAACCTGCCAGCAAAATTGGTTTGCTTTTATTATTCTGGTGCCTGCAGTTAGTACCACGTACATGAAAAATGCTAAAATCTACTTCCAGCCACCATGAACAATAAGGGAAAAGCCCCAAGAGGTGACCAGGCCTAAGGCAGCTGCTGCTGGGGATTTCCAGTGACAGAGCACCGTCAGTATTCGGGGGTCTGCGTGGTTCCGACAGTGAAATAATATTTTTAACTGACTGCACAGACGATCTTTTCAGCTGGACTTTCTCGCATAAAAATATATTAAAACTCCTTTTTACCCACTGATCACAATAAATACAGCAAAGCTGCTCTCTGCCATTGAACACAGGAGCAGCAGAACCATCAGACCAGTGTTGGGAAAGTTCTCTTTCTACGTGAACTAGTTCAAAGTTCAGTTCACACATTTTAAAATGAACTAGTTCAGTTCATAGTTCAAAATTTTTAACTAGGTTCACAGTTCCAAAAAACGAACTAGTTCATAGTTCCTTTTTTTCATATATTGCTCAATTACACCATAGCCTACTGTAGAACCACAGACAGCAATTATTTTATCAGTTGTAACACTGAAACTGTGCGTCAGATTTCATCTTCATATCCAGTTTTGAATCCTTATCCAACCAGGGTTTACATTAGCATTGAGGGGACAGCATTTCCCCATTGTTGCTTTAACGCTTTGTTGCTGTCCATTCACTTCACACTAGTAGCAGCTGCAGCTTTCACCCCTACATTATATTCTTAAAAAATATCAGGAAAAATGTGCTGCTTGAATGGTCTTTTTTATGAGGAATTGTTAAAAGAAAAATAGGAAAGTAGTCTTTAAGGTGCAAATGTTTTTTTTTTTTTTATTATTTTTTCCATTTGAAATTCCATTTCAATACATACTAAAAAGGAATACTGGAATCATGGAAAATTATACCAGGCAGGTTTAACAAACAAGTTACATGGATAGTAAAACCCTCAAGAACAGGGGTCTTCTATGTTTTCCAGACCAAGGACGCCCAAACTGATGGCGAGATGGAGCGGGGACCCCCTAACTATATATATTGTATGAAATTGTGTCCTATAGTCACTCTATTACAGATGGAGTAATGTAAAGCAATTAATTTCTACCTGGGATTATTACAGTTTTTCTAATTCTGATTCCTGGTTGATTGGACAGGTGTTGTGAATGAAACGGTGCCCAGCTTGAAAGAGCTCCTGTGTGTCGCTGAATGTTTGCATTGATGACTGAAAGACATTTTCTGCCTCCATTTATCTGTTTACTACAGTGTGTTGATTTCATGTTAATGAGTATTTAAAGACATTTCAATTAGTCGGGGAAAAAATTGCAGGGGGGGAATATAAAAATATCAACTAACCATGCAGACCCTCATGCAGTACCTCTGTAGACCCCCTAGGGGTCGCGGATCCCCTGTTGAAGACCTCCGCTCAAGAAGATTTTACTAACACAAACTGAGGGACCAGGCTGAGGTAGGAATTTAAGGTTACTGAAGTGCGAATTTTTTTACTGAAAGCCGGCGGGCAAAGTTGTTGCCATCATCCTCACCGACCACCTGGTCATAAAACTGTTTTAAGTGATCATACTGCTGCTTTGTCGCCTCCACGCTGCTGTGGCTTCCACGCTGCATTTTGTTTTGATGACGCACGCGGCTGTAGGCTACGACACTGGTAGCTGGTGTTGCCAGATTGGGTGTTTTTCCCGCTACATATTAAGGCCTGTTTACGGTTTGATTTAGCCGGGGTTTCGCCTGGAGGGCTCTAAAGAAATCTGGCAACCTATTGAACGGAGTTGAACTGAGAGAGCGTGCCGTTCACAGACACCAGAATGAACGAGTTCGTAATAACGTTCATCAGGCAGTAATGCAGTACGTTCAGTTCACGTTCGCCCAAAATATGAACGAGTTCATGAACTTTCGTTCAATGAACGCGTTCAGGCACAACACTGCATCAGACGCATCTGTACAAAGTTTGCTGGACATGCTTCAGGAACCTCAAAGATCATTTAGAGTCACGTCAGATCTTAATGTGGACCAGCATCAAAAATGAAACAGCAGGCCCTTTTTTTGCTGCCCAAAGCACGTCCGGTGTGAACGTAGCAATTTTTTTAAATCTCCGATTTTCATAAAACACAAGATAAATAAAAAAATCTTATAGAAAGGGATATTTCTGTAATTACAAGGAAAATCAAAAAAACTTTCTAATGGGTAACTTGTTTCTGGAACTTAGTGTCCGCCAAAACAAAGCAAAACCAGATCAACACAAACAAACACTAGAAAAACAACAACAACAAAAAACCCAATTAAATTACTGAAATTATAAAAAACTGGAATGTTGGCTTCCGGAATCAACAGTCATAACCCGATACAGTGTAATTTACTTTTTGATGTAATCACCTTTCTAAAGCAATGCTATGCATCACAATAATGATAAATGGTGATTTAGAATAATAAAAATATCCCTATACTTTTATTTTGGTGTCATTAATTGTTCAAAACTACAAAATGTCCACCAAGTTGTGGTGATCCACTTCTCTGCTTATTAAACAATAAGATTCCCCTATTGACAATGTCTATAATTCATCTGTGCCCAGGGTACATAGTTTGTTAATGTTGTACAATAATTTATCCAATATTAATAAATCATTTGCTTGAAGTCAAAATAAAATGTTTTACCATCTGCACAATTTAATTATATGTATGATTCCTCCTTTTTCATGAACAAATTCACCAGGATTGTAAGACAGGTTTCATCAATGCCCAGCCAATGAAATTAATTGTTGTGTTGAAGTAGGTTCAGCTAAAACTGGATAGATAGCAAAAGGGAGTTATTTCTGGATGTATTATGTCCACTATCGCAAACATCTGCAAGGCTCAGCAAATTCTGAGCCCTGCTTAGAGTGGAAGATCAAATATAAGGCTAAGTAATATGTTTCTGCAGATGAACACCTCAGACTTAGATGGAAAACATCTTTTTTGCTGCTTTTTAGGTTCTGGTGTAGCAGTAACGGTTTCTGCACTAAAAACATCAAAGATATACTGGTGATGCTTATTACTGCTTATTACTGCAAACTTCCTACTTTTGACATTTCTTTTTTATTTAAACCTTTAAGGGAATAAAAGCATGTCATGCATTGTTTTAATCAATTCTCATTATCCAAAGTTGTCAGTTTATTACAACATTTAATACCAAAACCTTATTTCAATCGAATACTAAAAAATTAACACATAATTTCATATTATTACCAAAGATTTTGTGCTATGGATACTTTTATGACAGCCACTAGTCCAAAAAAGAGAAGCAAGATGTTGTTTATTATTGGCCAGCAATGAACAGGTGCATGAGAGGCTGGTTTTTTGAATCCATATCTTTCCTGCACATTATTTTTTTGTAATATTTTACTTTAATTCATTGTATTAATTAAAATATGAAATCACTGTTTTTAGAGATTTGATAAATAATTTCTATCTTACCTTTGTGCTCTCAGTACAGCCAGCATGGTTACAGGCCCTCAACTGGTAGAAGAACTCCTGATACGGCCTGATCCCTCCCACATCAGTGAAAGTATTCTCATCTCCACGGTAACGTTCTTGTCCATCTCGCAGCACAACATAATGGGTTATAATGCCTCATAAAAGAAAAAATAGTAGTTTCATGATTAGAGTGCACCCACATATAGATATAAATAAACTCTGCAGCAACTATTGAAAAAGCTTTTTCACAGACGTTCACAAACTTTTTTAAGAACAAAAATCTGGAAATCATGTAAATGGGAAAACAAACCATTAGGCCTTGCAGGAGCTTCCCATTGCAGTTGGATGATATCATCTCGTTCACTTAGGCAACTCCAGCGGGGTGGGGCCACTCCCCATGGCTTGTCTTCACTGGTTGTCACTGTGGTAACATCACTGGAACCTGGGCCAAAGCTGTTCCAGCCCATCACTCGATACGCATAAGTTGTAAAGGGCTCCAGATCAGTGTCTAAATCAAAAAAAGGATGAGTCTGATTGCATTACTGCAAATAAATTTTTTCCATAAAAAATACTGTTTGTTGTTACACCTCGATAGAACTACTTAGACCTGGTGCTAACTTCATTTATGATTTTAACCAGCAAGAATGGTATTTTGAATACAATCAAATGGGATTGAAGTTGACTCATCACTTTCAGAAGGCGCATTAGATCACTTAATATGCATTAGTTTGGCTTTCAATCTGTCCTGGGACATTTACTACTAATTGAAATTATGAGATCCTCTTTTGTAAGTAGCCATCCACCATTCTATAAAACATATAAATCTATCAATCACTGAAATTTCAATTTGGAGAAAATTCATATCAAAATGCAATCTTCTCCATATTTTGCTGCTGTCCTCCATCCGCCATAGGCCTTATTTCTGCACCAGATTGAATTTCTAAAGGAAACTAAATACATAAATGCATAACTCATTACAGTCACCAAGCTCAGCAGATTAGACAAATCTGCACCTACTTTGCCTTAGGTAACCTTTTTTCAGCTATCAACACAGCAGTATGCTTGTCAGAAATTTTACTTAAAACTCAAGGTCCTCCAAGATTTAATACATTTGAACAAAAAAAATCTAAACAGTGGGTTTTCAGAACTAATGCACCCTCCATCTAATTCACTTGCATATTAACAAAAACAATGAACAGTACATTTTTGTATATTTTTACATGTTTAAAACATGTCAGTTTACAGTAAACTAAATGTAGACTTTTGTATGCAGAAGTTTATTGTTTTATTTGTTTATAGTATTATCTGGTGAAAAGTTTTTTTTTTATTATAATGAGTTGGATTTTTGATAGGAAAGCTATTTTATTGTTGTGAAACTTTATTCTCTAAGGTCACAAATAACATGTTTTATTACTCCTCTGATACCAAGTCTGAGACTTCACAGCCAGGTTTACTAGAGTTGAAATAATTGTGGTAATTCAGTTTAATTAAATCTGAACCGTGTAAATGTGCAAAAACGAATCAACTGCAGATAACGGAACTCACTAGCAGCTTAACACGGACATCAACTGACCTGCTGATGGTGCTGTCAGCAACTGACTGCATCATACAGTGCCATGCTTATTTAAAAAAACATTCAATTCAATTAAAAAATACTTTATTAATAATGCTTCAGTAAATAGTTTTTATAAATTTTTTTAAAGTAGATAATTCCAGCTGAATTCTGATATAATGTGTGAACAGCCATGAATAGAATGGTTCACTTGTCTCTGAATCAATCATTGGATCAGTGCTGTACCTACAGGTACGAATGCTTCAAAAAGATTAATCATCTCACAAATTGACAGTTATTGGAAAGTAAAAGTGTAAAATATTTCTGTACATAAAAAGAAGTATGACAGTTTTTTTCCTGTTGATCTGTTCCCTTGACTTAGGTAAAAACAGAGGAGGTAAAATTAGTTGAAAACCTAGTTTAGCCTTAAGAAAGCGTTCTAACAATACTGCTCACAAAAGTCATGGAGTAGTATGCATGCATCCATATCTGTGCTGTCTGCCTAACTAAAAGGGCTTTCTGTAAGAATACTAAAAAATGAATGCGCTCCGTCTAAAAAACCCCAAATTGAAATCAGGTACATTATGTCAAAATAACAAGCAAAACAAAAAAACTCAACACATTTTATCATCAATAATGCAATATGGTTTACAACTTGTGATTATCAGCATTAACGACAATATTTTGAATGAAATTTAGTGGTATAAAGGATTTTACCATCCCTCTAAAAAAGTTAAACGGATGAAAATTTCTGTTGAGCTTAATCGCCATAATTCAAAAAAAAAAAAAATCCTGTTATTGTAAATAATTTAAAAATAACACATTGAAAAAAATTTGTCCTTTTTTAAAACCAATATAGAAAAGTACAACTGTTATGTCCTGAATGTAATGAAATTAAATAAAAAATCTCAATTCAAACAAAATATCAGCACTGTAAGAAAGTAAATATAATGAGTTACTACAGGTGCTGGTCATAAAATTAGAATATCATGAAAAAGTAGATTGATTTCAGTAATTCCATTTAAAAAGTGAAACTTGTATATTATATTCATACATTACATACAAACTCATATATTTCAGATGTTTATTTTGTTTAATTTTGATGATTACAAATGACAACAAATGAAAATCTCAAATTCATCATATCAGAAAATTAGAATATTACTGAAGACCAATAAAAACAAAGGATTTATAGAAATGTTGGCCAACTGAAAAGTATGAACATGAAAAGTATGAGCATGTACAGCACTCAGTATTTAGTTGGGCCTCCTTTGGCCTGTATTACTGCAGCAATGCGGCGTGGCATGGAGTCGATCAGTCTGTGGCACTGCTCAGGTGTTATGATAGCCCAGGTTGCTCTAATAGTGGCTTTTAGCTCTTCTGAATTGTTGGGTCTGGTGTATTGCATCTTCTTCTTCACAATACCCCATAGATTTTCTATGGGGTTAAGGTCAGGAGAGTTTGCTGGCCAATTAAGAACAGGGATACCATGGTCCTTCAACCAGGTACTGGTAGCTTTGGCACTGTGTGCAGGTGCCAAGTCCTGTTGGAAAATGAAATCTGCATCTCCAAAAAGTTGGTCAGCTGCAGGAAGCATGAAGTGCTCTAAAACTTCCTGGTATGTGGCTGCGTTGACCCTGGACCTCAGAAAACACAATGGACCAACACCAGCAGATGACATGGCACCCCAAACCATCACTGACTGTGGAAACTTTACACTGGACTTCAAGCAACGTGGATAAAGTGCCTCTCTTCTTTTCCTCCAGACTCTGGGACCTTGATTTCCAAAGGAAATGCAAAATTTACTTTCATCAGAGAACATGACTTTGGACCACTCACCAGCAGTCCAGTCCTGTTTCTCTTTAGCCCAGGCAAGACGCTTCTGACGCTGTCTGTGGTTCAAGAGTGGCTTGACACAAGGAATGCGACAGCAGAAACCCATGTCTTTCATACGTCTGTGTGTGGTGGTTCTTGAAGCACTCACTCCAGCTGCAGTCCACTCTTTGTGAATCTCCCCCACATTTTTGAATGGGTTTTGTTTCACAATCCTCTCCAGGGTGCGGTTATCTCTCTTGCTTGTACACTTTTTTCGACCACATCTTTTCCTTCCCTTCGCCTCTCTATTAATGTGCTTGGACACTGAGCTCTGTGAACAGCCAGCCTCTTTAGCGATGACCTTTTGTGTCTTGCCCTCCTTGTGCAAGGTGTCGATGGTCGTCTTTTGGACAACTGTCAAGTCAGCAGTCTTCCCCATGATTGTGTAGCCTATAGAACTAGACTGAAAGACCATTTAAAGGCTTTTGCAGGTGGTTTGAGTTAATTAGCTGATTAGAGTGTGGCACCAGGGGCCATCAATTTTGAACCTTTTCACAATATTCTAATTTTCTGATATGATGAATTTGAGATTTTCATTTGTTGTCATTTGTAATCATCAAAATTAAACCAAATAAACATCTGAAATATATGAGTTTGTATGTAATGTATGAATATAATATACAAGTTTCACTTTTTAAATGGAATTACTGAAATCAATCTACTTTTTCATGATATTCTAATTTTATGACCAGCACCTGTATATACGTCTTGGCATGTTGAAAATATTTACATAATTTATATTACATTTTTCAAAATACAACAGAGTAGCATAAATATAAAGCTGTCAGAAAAGCTCTATCTAATTGTCACTCCCTCATTATTGTGCCACACTGCAGCAAAATAACAAACCGATTATTCCCCGCTAGAAGAGCATATGCAGAAAGGGCAGTAGAAAACTTCAAATCATTTTTAACCTCTTCCTTTTATTATTGAATATGAACCTTTAATCGAACACAAAGGAAATGTATTTGCCAAAAAAATCTGTTATTTTTTTTTCAAACTCTTTACTATCATAATGCAAACTAAAAGATATCATACAAGTATTCCACTGTTGAGAAGCTGTAAACATGAGGATATGGCGGCAGTCCCCTGATGCTTGGATTGTTACAACCCTTCTGGTGATGAGGTGTTACGCTACAGGACCATATATACATACAAATGCACTTGCACACCAACATGGGCATTGCCTTTAGGAGTGTAAAGGGACTGCTGCTGTAACTGGCTCGGTTTAAATTGCCAGTTTGGGGCTCTTGTCTTTACCGCAGTCATAACTTACCGTAAGTAGCAAAGCACAAAGAACGCAGATGCAAATAAATCATTAAACATGTTTGTTAAAAGAAAAATCAACCTACTTTTTTGATTATGAACTTTTATGAATATAGGTGGTGTGTTGACAAAAAAGGAAATTTTTATGACTCATACTGTAAATATAAAGCTGTCGGGGTTTGATCTTTGTATATCATGATACTCTGTGTGTAAGTGTCCATGACTGTGTGTGTGTGCATGAGAAACATCTGGTGTATGGTGGGTGGCGACAGCTTTATGTGCCTTTGCCCAGATGGTGTCACAGCACTTCACTGAAAGTCTTATCCTAACCGCCACATGCCACACACACCAAGTAATCATAGCCCATACGTAGACACTGAAATGGTAACCAACTGAATTACGAAACACACAAAATGTTAAACAATTACATAAAAAAAACTGAATAAATAATGATGACCACTTTTAATTCTTAGAAAACAGCATTGGACAACAAACTGAAGAATATATGCATGGTCCAGATGTAATAAACCGCAGACACATGAACTTATTCCCTTTGGGCTAATAAACAGTGGATAATTTCGAAACAGCATCTAAATGCCCATCTTGCTTTAACTACACACAGAGACGATGAGCTGCCGATTACCTCGCACTGCAACAGCTGTTTTAAGAGTATAATAGCATGTGCATGAAACCATTATATATGGGGCTGCTGCTCTCTGTGGAAATCCACTTGTTTTAGCAGCGAACAAACTCAACCATTGACTTCTAAAGCCTTAGAATACATCTGAGTTCTGCTCTTTTTTACATTTATTCTGCATTACCTTTACTTTTTTGCAAATAAAAATCTGAAATGTGTCTTGTACTTCTGTGTTCACCCTGAACAAATATTTTTTTGTACCACCTTGCTCTGCAGTTAGCTGAACATGTTTTGGGGTGTATCAAGATCAACATACTGGAATCATTTCTAATGTTCAGTCAGAAGTAGTTTTCTTCAGTTGGATTTAGTTGTGGGCTTGAACTCTACTATATTAAAGCAAGAATATACTTGGATCATATCCCATAGTACCTCTGATATTATGTTTAGAGAGGAAATATTCTGCCTTCTTCATTTTGCTAGTGCTGAGAGCAAGCTCTTAGTTTCATGTGATCAATGTATTCATTATAGTGTTGATAAATACGAATTCTCCAAAGCTTAATAACTTAATTGACTTACATATAAGATATTACAATTTATAAACAGTAATTGGCACAAAACCTTTGTTCTCTTCTATCTTTATTCCATTAACTGATTCACAGCTTATCAAAATAGATAGTTAGTCTTGCTTTATGTTTAGGTTCTAACATATTTTCATTTGTTTTCAGTTAATCTTCAGTAGTTCTGCTTTTTGAAATCCAAATTTTTTAATATTTTTGAGGCCTTCATCTCTGCTCCTGTTGCATCTTTCCTAAACAGAAAGATATATTTTGAAAGCGACTGCAGACATGTATGTAGAAGGAGCGTGCTGCCGCTTCTATAACTGGACTGAAGAAGACTTTTTGATAAGAAGGGAAGGTTCTTTAGGAGACAAGAAAGTAGCCTTGTACTTCGGTGTTAGAGGGTATTTTGCTATGATGAGACTAAAACTTCCAAAAAAACAAAAAATGAAGTAACATGTTAATTAAGAAAACTATCTACATGACGAAAGATGCTGAGGATATGCAGTGGAGATGCTCTCTTTGGCATTTCCAGGAACACTGGTCAGATTGGATGGTAATATGATATAATAAAAACCTGATTGAAACTGAGGAGGACCTAAAACTGGAGAAATGCTTTACCTTTTTTAAGTATGAGTTAAAAGCAACACTGTAACTTTCAACCCAAGTATTAGCTTAATTTTACATATTCTAAAGGATTTCAAGGTCAATATACATTTAGTAAATTCAGAGGGTTGGATCCGTCACTGAATGAGTCATGTGTCCCAGAGCACCAATGAGCTCCTCTTAAACAGAGAGCTAACTAAGCTAAAAGTTGTTGTTAGGCAACAAAAGAGATGTGGCTCATTGGATAATTTGGATCTCTGATGTAGAGTGTTGCTTTCAAATTAAAAGTAACTCCATGACTTCTCAATCAGTCATTTGCTATTAGATTCTGAAAGAGGGAGATTTTTTGATAATGTGGTGTCATAGTGGTCTTCAGAGGGACTAAATCTGGACTCTACAGGTAAAGCATCTCCTGGCTTTCAAAAGTTAGTGTTTCTTTACGTTTATTTGTTTGTTATTCAACAAAGAATAACACAAAGTTCTATTTATTTACCTGTAAATGTGTGAGCACTGGCGTCACCGCTGTAGACCACCTCCTCATGTGAAGGGCACAGATTTCCGCCTGCCTCTGGGTGCTCAGTATTCGTGTGATTCTTTCCGTCAGATGTTATGGCTTTACTTCTGTTTGCATGTGCTGGCAGCGTAGGGAGGGTTTCCAGCGTGGGGCTGATGAATGACACTTGTGTCATGGATGGTGTGTTGGGGTCTGGATGTGCATTCAGGACCCATGTGCAGGCAGTTAAAGAAGGATCAAGGTTGCAGGAGCCACAATAAGCTATAGCTGCAGCAGCCACAGGACAGACAGCGCCCTGAAAACACTGGTGCTGCTCACATGATGGAGAGAAACCAAGAAAGATCAAGAGGTCAGAAAAATGTATTAGCATCAGTAAAATATATATATATTTAACATCAGGTTTTTCTCTTCTACAAAGGCATACACATCTATTATATGTCGTTATGGAAGTGTTTTCTTTACATGGACCTTAATGGCATCATTAGAGCTAACAAGAGCTTTCAGCTGTCTTTGTGGTAGGGGAGTGTGTTTGTTTGTGAAGGAATGTGTATGAGATGAACCCTCTCATACTGAATAGAAATACAGAACAACCAAATGACACCAGGCAATAAATGCTGGATGACACATTCTCCGACTCCTGGTGTAACAATAAGGACCAGGGCACAGATAAAACCAGATCTATCTGGGTTGATGTGCACTTAACTGATGGAGGCAGAGATAAGTTATTTGCTTAAAGTCAAATAGCAAATACTTACTGTTTCTATCAGCAAAGCAAGCAAGTTCTAAACAAAATCATCCGTTGTTGCAAAATCTTTTTAAAGAGTTGAGCGCACGGCGATAGTAGAAAAAAAGAATCTGTTTTGAGAAAGGGTTGACCAAAAACTTGAAACATACCGGTATCAGCAGTCCAGCTGTGGCCTGATCAGCACAGACATGCCGTTGGGGGTCGAAACCGATCCCATTGCAGCATTCTTCATCCAGATGTATGACCTTTGACCCACAGCACTGCAGTGTCACTGTGGCATTACCAGAGGGGTGAATCGTGGCAGCTCCATCGTTGTCAACACAGCAGAGAGAGGTTGAAGAGTTGACATACTCTTCTCCACAGCAGATAAACCCTAAAGAGAAAAATAAGCTTGATTTTGTTGTTGTATCACATCATATCCTATTATGGCAGGTCATACAGCATTTCAGTTAAAAAACAAGAATAAAGAGGGCAGAAAACACCTGAAATCTATAGGAAATGTGAAGTAATCATTGCCTCAATGCTGGACAACTAATCTTTCAGGTTTGTTTTTAGGATGCAGAACAGTCAGCCTTATACAAGCATAGTAAAGCTATATTTTACATGTCATGATTCATGGTCATTTAATTTTGTCTTTGAACTTGCTTTTGTGTTTGAAACATTAAGAGTTACCTATTTCTGCCATTTAAGTCTTTTTATTTTGGTTCATCCCCTTTGTTCAGCTTCTTTATTTTTATTCTTTTTTTGTTCTTTTTTAGTTTGGATTTTCAGTTTATTGTTATTCTTTGTTGTCTTCATTAGATGTTTTGTATGCATCACCTCCTTCTGTGTTGATTCTGTGTTTGTCACTTTCCCTCATTTCTTTTCTTTTATTCTTTACTTGCTGGTCCACATTGATCTGACCATTCTCACCTTTTTTTTTTTATACAACTAAACATCATTACCTAGGCATCCTGGTTTCCTCATGGGCCACACAGTAGCACAGCTTCTTTGCTGTAAGGAGGTCCTAGATTATCTTGGTGCATCTATGACTTTCAATAGGTATTCTGGCTTCCTCTGAAATTTCAAAGACATTACTGTTAGGTGCATTGGTTTTTCTAAATTTCTCTTAGATTAGATGTGTTAGAGAAGGGCTGTTTGTCTTATTTGTTGCACTGTGATGGACTAGTGACCACTAACAAATGACCCTGTTCACTGCACATCACTCAACCATAAGAGAAAGGCCACACCATACACCACCCATGGTTAACTGGCACGGTGGGACAGTTTTCTTCATTGCTGGATACTTCTGTTGCTGTCACCATGGTTCTATTTCCTGTATTTCTCATACAATAACAGTGTTTGTTTCTTTAAATAAATTGTTTATTATTATTAACATCATATTAATTATCCATGTGCCCTGTATCATCAGCTCTGCATTTGGGTTCTCAACAGCCATGCAATATGAGCAAACATGTTGTTGATCCTCTGCTTTCCTTAAACATCTATGTCTTAAACTCTCCTCCTCCTCTGACCTGCTCATGAACAGTATTTAGGCTGAGCTAAATATTTTTTTCTTATCATTCTTATAGATATCCACCTGTCCTATTCCCTCCTTGTAGGAGGACATATCTCTGTTGCTCTAGTATATTCACAGTTTAGCAGAAATATTCAGACTCTGCTGTTTAAAAAAGTGTAAAGGAAGTGTGTTTGTCTGAGACCTGCCATCTCTGACAGTGATAGGTGATGTCTGTCTGCTGCTGCATCACCTTCAGCAGCAAGGTGACATTTAAAATACATGCTATTCCTCTATTTGCCTGTATATGTTCGGCAGCTGAATATCAAATTTAAAGGATGTACTTTCCCACCACTCTAGATATACACTTTCCAGATTCAAGTAAATAGAGGTATGTAGGGCTGACATATTAGAACTGCTGAAGCGGTGGGAGATTGAAGGTAAGACGCATTGCGTTAAAACATAATAGTTTGAAAGATGAATAAATATTCAACGTTTTTAATATTTGAATCCCTTATACCATCCTTACGCTGAAGCATTTATTTCTGTTCCCATAATATGGTGTTGTTAGAGAAAAAAGAATGCATCCATACAAAGTATACACTTTGTCAGACTATAACACACCGGCATGGTGGCTACATGAAACAACATGATTAGATAACCAGTAACAGAAATCAATAGCCCGCATCTAAAAAAGTACACATACGTATCTATATTCTAACTTCTTTATCACCATAACAAAGCCCAAAGACTCTTGTTTTATGAAGTAACACCCCTGTCAAACTTTCAAATAAAATGAAGGTGATCATAAATCATTAATATGTTTCGGAACCCCATGTGGCGCGCAGTGATTTGTTATCTGATGCACTAAAAAAAGTATCTTTACAGGGAAAAAGGTCGATTAAATATGCATATCATTTTATATGAATTGGATTATCAGGCTATTGCAATCAAAGATGTGTGACTACAGTGTATAAACTTCTGTGCAGACACCATTCCCACCAGTGCAGTGAGATGCTTTCCCAATGGCAAACCCTGGATGTACAGTAATCTGAAGGAACTGCTAAAATAAAAAAGAGCCTTCAGAAAAGGAGAAAGGGAATTATTGTGGATTATATGGAAACAATTAAAATCTAAAATGGGAGAGAACGACGAGGCAGGAACAAGCTGGAGAGCAAGAACAGCAGAGAATATCAGAGATGTCTGGTCAGGAATGAAGAATGTCACAGAATTTAAGCAAAAGAAATTTGGACAGTCTGGACAGAGCCAATTAACTACACACAATCTTTAATTGGTTCAGTTCAGGTACAAGCTCAGCATCCTTTTCTCGTGCCTACAGTCAAACATCCTGCCCTGCTTTGACCCAAGGCTTCCATTTTAATTGCTTTTTCTTCCTACTTTGTAGGCACATATCAAGACCCCCTGCAGTTTGCTTATCGCCATTGAGTTAAAGATGCCATTATAAACATGTTTCAACAAACCCACTGTCATTTAGACAAAGCAGAAAACATCTATTTCTCTCTCTCCTTCTTTGTTTCTGCGGGTGTAGAATAAGTCTCCAAGGATGTTAACTTGTATTTTAATTATTTTCTCTTCTATTCTAACCAAATCCCTACCTTTTACATTTCTTATCCTAACCCTCTATTTCTATTTTTTGATTTTAATTCTTAATCTCCATTTCCATGTGTTTTTTTTTACAGACTTGTATACCGACTATAGCACTTTCTATTCCACTGTTGCTGCATGCACGCTTGGTATGAATGAGTCATTGCTAGAAAGTCAACAAGAATATGGAAGCAAAAGTCTGCTGTCTCTGAATGGTCACCCAGAAGAGAAGACTATTATCAAATATTTTTATTATTTGATTGTAGTGACTCAAATCAAGTGTCTAACAAGCTGCTCAGCAGCACAAGAGCGTCACATAGGGCAGACTTCTCACCATTTATTTTGAATCTGTACTGTATGTACCCTTCACCCAGTATAGGACAGATTCCATCATCTGCATTATATGGTGTGGAAACAATAATCTAATCCTAAATGTGAGTAAATTAAGGCAGATTATTGTGCAGTTCAGGAGAAAAAGGGGAGAAACTATAAACATCACAGGGAAAAATGGGGAGGAGTAAAAATACTTTAGCGTTCAACTGAAAAACAGACTAGATTGGAGAAACAACTGTAAAGTTCTTTCTGAAGAGGGACAGAGCAGATTGAACTTCATGAGGAAGCTTAGAACCTCCAGATTTTTCAGCAAGATGTTGCTTATCTTCAAAAATTTTGTTGTGGGGAATTTGAAAGGTTGTTTTAATCTAAATATCTTTCTTTTACACATTAATCTCCATTTAAAGTGATACCACAAATGGATCAAGTAACTCCAATAATAAGATATACAACCCAAAGCAGTTAAAGAACCCCCTGTTTTTTCACCATAATCTTTAATTACTCAGAAAGAATACCTGACCCCAAGAGTGACGAAATATGATTAATGCTGTTATTTTTGTATAGCTGCTCCCTGCTGTGCCCTGCCAGAAGCCACCCTGGGTGCAGGCCTACGATAGCCATCCTTAAATCCAGCACTGCTTTCAGGCTTTGTTCATGCATTCAATTAAAGTTATAATATACAGTGTTATTGAGTCAGCACCTTCCTGCTGTGATGATGCATTAGAAGTACAAATCAGGATAGAAGGGGTTTACTTAATATGTGCTGCAGCGACTAAAAAAAGTCTTACAAGGAGACTTCTTTAATGTAAATTTGAGACATCTGTTTCAACAGAACATTTATTTGTGTGATTGCTTAAAAAAAACATTGATAATAATTAAAAGCCATTAAGGAAATCTATTAGCTGATGGTATCCTTCACTGTGGCATCATCTATAGCCAGCTGCGTTGGATAGTTTATTTAACAGCATGCATTAAACTCTAAGTCACAGCTCTGTATCATTAGCCTGACGTAGTCCGACTCAATTCTAGTCAGAATATGAGTCTGATACTGCTCCATAGAGCTGTGATTATGGGGCGTGTTTCGAACGAACCAGGAAAAAAAATGCCTCTGCACTCAATTGGATAGATCTACAACCAATAAGAGCAACGGAGTGCGTGACGTATGTTAAGCGAGGCATAGTTGTTTTCCACAAAAATCAAAACGTGCAGTTTCACGCCTAGAATAAGAAGATGAGACTTGATCGCGTTTCTCTGCTCCTCTTTTAAAATTAATTTGCTGTCGATATCTTCTAGAACAGACCTAATAGCAGAATCTACTCACCCAAACTCTCCAGCGGCAGCCATTATTGTTGTCACCCTAGCGCGCTTTGGTCACGTGGTTGATTACGTTACTCTTGATCATCTGTCCATCATCGTATAAAGTCCGCCCTGACAATTTGATTGGATCGCCTGACAGTGGGCGATAATACTCACGCTACTATGGAGCAGAGCCAGACCGAACTTCCCCGACCTCAAACTTTGTGGGCGGGACTAAGTTCTGACTGGCACCCAGGCTACTGTATCATGGACCTTTAATGGGGCTGAAGCTAGTTGTAAAGTGATAACCTGTTTCACGCTTTAATCAGAATTCACACTTCAAGCACATTAAATGTTGTAAACATATAAAATTACTCAGCATTCAGGCTGAAAGTTAAGAATAATACTGTACATATTTCCTATTGCACTGTTACATTGCATTATATCCTCAGCACATCCATCAAAGGCTTCAATTGAGAGGAAAAAGCATGTGTACGTGATTATGTGACATAAAGGCAGCCTGACAGCCACTAACTCACTTAGCAGCGGCAGATGTTGCGTAGCGGGGTCTTGGTGGCCAATTCCCACTGCGCCTTACTTCAGCTTCAATGATACGTAAATAAACAGCTCAACACTTTTCCAAA